AATTAGCAACTTATTTACCAAATTTGATGAGATTAAATTATCTAATTTCGTAATAAGACACCGGCAAATAAAGTTGTTCAATAATAAAAGTAAGTTAACCGACAACCATACAGATATTTCAGTTCTAATGTTTCGAAAGACAGTTTAAAACATTATTATATGGTCAGGAACACCATCCATTGGCATAGCTAGTAACTTGATTCAGTATTTAATGAGAATACTTTATGTGGTCACATGAAAAAGAAGCAATTTGGGACGTAGTTGATGTTTCAAAATTAAAGTAAATAATATTCAATGAGAAATGTATAGTTTGACACACGTCCGTACAGATATTTCAGTTGGGATGTTTTGAAAATAAACTAAAGACATTGCTTTAAATTATACTTAGAGTCAGGAGTGCCATCTATTGACAAAGTTTGCAACTGTCTATCATATTTGATAAAAAAATAAATTAGCTTCTCTTTTTTTATGGACTTTTCAAATTTTCTTTCACTTCCGGTACATTGAGAAAAAAAAGGTATGATTAAAACTTTAAAATTTATTAAAAGCTCATTGCATATGTGGATTTATGGGTGAGCCAAAATGCTTGACAATATTACCGAAGAGCTTTGATAATGATTTTGGACAAAAAAAACCTTATATGGTTTTATAATATGTGATACAGATAGGTAAATGTGATAAAGTTGGATAATTTTAACATCATACTTTAGAGCAAGGCATAAAAACTATTTATTTAGTAAATTCGCTTTTCAGTTTGGAATTTTTTACTTAATGTGTGGTAGTATGAACTATAATTTTAAAAACCAGAATTACCGGTTAAACCTTATCATATGAACGGAAAAATTCCAAAAAGAATTTCAAAAAGAAGAAAAAGAAAATAATTAAAAACAAAATAAATACTATTTATTTTGTTTTTTATTGCCTGGGATGTTTTTTTTCATTACCAGAAATGTCATTACCAATTTTTATCAAACTAATTTTATCAAACTTTTTTCTCCGTGTAGCTACATACGAGGGTTGCTATTTATATCATGGAATCATGGATCTATGCTCATATGCATAGATCCATGATTCGTCACCTGTGTAGATGTTATGCACAGCCTTTGATGTACCTTGAACGTATTTTTTCAACATTTCCTTGCACCAATCGACACGAGCCTTTTTTTGAGCGTTTGTCAGATTATGTGGGATTTAACGCGAACAAATTTTTTTTTTTACGCTCAAATGTTCATGCAATATTTTATTGATGCTAGTCATACTAATGTCCAAAGACGCCTCTATCTCACGGTATGTCACATGATGATCTTGCTTTATCAGTTCACGCACAGCATCGATCTTTTCTATCACAACAACGGATTTTGGACGACCTGCACGGGATTTGTCCCGGATCGAGTATCGACCACGATTAAATTCGTTACACCAATTTCTTACAGTACTGTAGGATGGCGCTTTATTGCTGAATAAAGAATTAAGTTCATCGAATCACTCTTGTCTTGACAATCCACGTCGAAAGTTATGAAAAATAATGGCACGAAAATGTTCACGATTCAATTCCATTTTTTGAAAGAGAAGAACTTTTCAATTTGTTGTCAACAACACAAATGGAGCTATAATGGTAAATCGTCTGCTGAATTTATGTTTAAAAATATCAAACTTTCGATTAAAATCGTCTGCGGTCGCCAAGCAACACTTACTGTTGCCAAGGCCAGAAATATAAATAGCAACCCTCGTATTATTCACCACAGAATTCCAGTTTTTAAATTTAATGCTTTAGTTTCAGCCTTTTAAAACAGAAATAAAATTTTCGATTATCTTAGAAAACAGTCATAAATAAAAAATAACATTATAAAGCCAACGGTACTCTTCGTCTATATAACAAATGGAACTTTGCTAAAAAATTAAAGTTTTTGATAAAGTTTTTGATAAAGACAGAACTTTCAGTTAACCGTTTCAAAGCCCGGCGTGAGACACAAAAAAATAAAATGAATGCTTTAAATACCATAGATTTTAATTTTATCAAACAGAATTATGCAGAATTTACAGCATAGTAATTCTACCTGGTTTCTTCGTGCAGTCTTAATTAACTCATTAAACTAAATAACAAATATGAAAATAAATTTAATTAGAAAATAAGAAATGTTTATCCTACAGTGTGAAGTAGATTTATAAAATTCTTAGTCAAATTATAAATGGTCTGATATAGATGTTAATCTCATGTAAAGCCAGAACAGTTATTTCTCAAGACTGTCATACATCAAAATGCTTCCACTTTGTCAAAATATCTTTTAAATAAGCATCACTTTAATGTAAGCAAGATTGGATTAAGTTATTTGCAGATATTTAGTCGAGAGGATGATATATTATTAAATACTCGAGGAAAGATTATTAATAAGAAAGGCCATTAGTAAATGTCAGGAGTTTGCATTTTTCATCGCGTTTCGAGGAATTATGCAAGTCTGAATTTGATAAATGACTGATCTAGTTACTGACCTAAACATACAACGAATGAGGAGATTTTTAGATTTAGCAAGATTTTATCAAACTGCGTGGAATGTTTTAAACATAACCATGAGAGCGGAAGACTAAATAGCGTCATAAAAAATAAAAAAAATGACCGCATAAATATTAATAACTAGAGCCCGGAATTTGATGACCTAAAAAGTCTCAATTAATGCCCTTAAAAAGTGCAAAAAATGCCCTTAAAATGCGAAAATTGCGCTAAAAATGCCTTATGACATGATTTAAATAGAAGTAAAAATATTGAACTAAAACAAATTTTTACTCTTTACAATTATTATGAGTCGTTTCAAAAAATATAAAGCAATGCAATACTTGTTCTACGTTCCTTAAAGTTTGAAAAATATGTTTTATATCCTAAAATAACAAAAAAAAAAGGAAAATATATTGACTCCATAACATTTTCATTTTGTATAGAAACTTAAATGAATATAACAACTTCCATCTCATAATATTACTAAATATCAGAATTACAGTGGATTATAAATTTTTTCTTAATATTTTGAAATGTAAACGAGCGTCTCTTGTCTGAAAGCAAATTTTTATCCCAGGAAAAGCTTCTTTCAACGTTTACTGATGTTATTGGTGCGTACTTGAAAAGGACGGTCACACTTACTGACAATTCTTCTTCAATTTGAAAAGATGTAACTTCACCTGTTAATATCCTAGAGATTTTCTTCGTTGTTTGGAAGCCAGTGTAATAATAAAAAATTAGAAAAAAAATAAAAATTAGAAAAAATTAACAAAACCTTTAAAAAATGCTTTAAAATGCAAAATACGCCCCAAAATTTAAAGAAAATGCCCTATAAATCTCAAAAAATGCTCTAAAGGACAAAAAATGTCCGAAAATGCGAAAAATTCAAAAAAATGCAAATGTCATCAAAATCTGGGCCTTATTAATAACTATGTATGTACATAACCTGAGTGCCCCAACTATAAAAAGAGAAATGATTTCAGTTTGGATGCTAAGAAAGTAATTTTGAAGTTAAAAAAAGCGATATATGAGCACCAGTAAATATTTTAAATATATTTCTAGCAACATTAAAACATAATTATATATGTTGATCTTTCCTCAGTATATAGAACATAATTTAACATATATAAATATGAAATAGTATCGATCACACATTTGGACAATCATTTTGAGTTTAATTTAAATCATAGTTTCTATATTAGTGTTTTTTTTACTTAGAATTCATTATATTGCAATGAAATTATTGTTAACTTTTTATTGTAATACATACCATGCATATGAAGGAATGTGTGTGCGTTTCAAAGTATGACTTTGTAAGCCATTGTCAATTTGAAAAATAGCCTACATAAGCTAGTAAAGGACACATCAAAGATGTTTTCGGGTTTTGTGTGGGGTTCGAACCCATGACCTTCACGCGACAGAGCGAGTCCACTCAGTCAGTGGAAAGCTTCTAGGTTATGATTTGGTATTTTATACTTTCAATGTCCAAGTTTAGAGTTAGAATTTAAAAAAAAGTATCGTATGAGGTAAAGGAATGTTTCTTATACACCTTTTACGAACTACCATATTTAAATCTTGAGGAAAGAAACCTCTACATTGTTTTCAAGTGTTACAAGTTCCTACAACTGCTGTTATGGAGACAGAATTTTAAAAATTATTTTATAGTTCTCTCTCCTCAATTGAACCCTAATCTCCTAATTAAAAACATGTTTAGTATGTAGTTTGAATGGTATTATGGGGATGAAAAATGAGAAACTAAACGAAGATGAAGAATAAATGATTTTAAAAATTGCTCCCAGAGGAATTAAGCTATAATGACCAGCTTTTGGCAACAGAAGAAAGGATGGATTCTGCTTTGCTGAATCTAATTCTCTCCATTTGTGTCAATTTTCTTCGATATTAATGCTCGAAAAGTTTTCCGAATATCCAACGAGCCCAATTAAAGATTTTTAGTATGATTATATGGTTTTAATGAGAAAACTGGGTATTGTCAGTTAAAAATTTTTAAAACTTCTCTGTTCCTCTAACACGGAATAATCGTTTTTAGCACTATTCCTGATAGCAAATATTACAACATTTTCAAATAAAATTTTATATTGTTCTCTCTAATAATAAATCTGCCATACGGTCATTATTTTTTAAATCTTCATCCTGCATACATTATAAACAATTCCGAATCAAATTATGGTAAAAAGTACAGGCACTCTGGATGCAGTATCAGTAAAATCCTTTTTACTGTAAAATACAATCTTACCTTAAAATTTTATACCGTAAATTTTACGGTAATATTTATTTCATTAAAGTGATTCAGTGACTTTACAAAAAATATTTTGTAAAAATTGCGGTGTATCAGATTTTTTTAGTAAAATTTTACGCTAAAAGGGATTTTGCGGTAAAAAGCACCGGTAAGCCGGTGCATTTTACCACAATTTGATCCGGAATTCCTTACAGTGCATGAAGGTATCGAATAATTTTTTTCCTTAATTTAAATTTTTTCTATGAAATTTAGGTTCCTTTTTTCATTGTTGTTAGAAGTGAAGTGAAATTTCATCGCAATTTTTTCTTGCTTTAGTAGTTGAAGGTAAGGCACTTTCAGTAGAATAATTTTTCTTTAAACTTTATATTTAATTGAAATTGAACTATATGCTGTTAGCTTGTATTTTGGATTCACCAGTTGCAATTATATTTACTCTCAATGGATTATTCGATGATATTAGATTTCTGAAAAAAGTAAATAAGTAATCAAAATTAATTAAAAAAAAACTCTACAATGTCTTAACCGGACCACTTGTTGCGACCACTTGTTAAATGTATGAAAAAACAGCTAAATGTTTATTGTTGGTTTACCCAGAAATAAAATTATCAACACTACGGTGAAAATTTTGTATCGTTAGCAAAATCTGCCCCATTTGGATCACTATCATGTTAAACACGATAATGCGAGGTATTTTTAAATTTTATGAAGTATAAATATGGACATGTTTTGATAATTTTATTCTGTAATTATAAATTTTGTAACCATTACTGAATCCTTTACTGTAACTCGAAACCTTTTCACATTTGTGAAAATTAAGATTAATTCAGACCTGTTGTAGCGAGGGCTTCCAAAGTATACTGAAGATTTGAATCCACAGCCTAGTGTGATGATCTAGTGAAACTAATTCCTCTTTACAATACAGAGAAATTTTAGGTGATCTAAGGTGGGACACTATTTATAAATCATAGTACAGATAAGAAATCTAGCTTCCAATGACATAATGTAAACCAGTCCCCCAAGGGTACTTGCGGTGCCTGTGTATAAAGGAAAAAATAATATTTAGGTCCAAAAGCAGAGTTTGCTGAAACTGATTTGAACCATCTTCTTAACCAATACTGTAGTTGGGGTGAAGAAATGTATTCTTCTTTTATTTATGGTTGGTTTGTTCTGTATTTTACACTATTTACAATAGTACTGTACTATTAATTAAGACATTTCTTTGAGAAAACATTAATATCATCCCTGTTAATTAAATCTGATAGCACATTTTGACATAGAAAGAAAGAATAAAATGGTGGGAGGCAGCTAACCAAACCATGCAAATTGAGTTGTCCAACGATCAGTTAACGTACCTCCTGTCACTTTGCTTCTTATACGCATGCGCTGGATCTTAGTTCAAATGACGCTCTGCTTAATCTGGGTATGTTGCTCACCCTGTTAATTGTTTTTCTGGTATAGCATATCGCACCGAGCAGTTCAAAGAGTTAGTTATGTATTTGTAGTGTATCTACCACTCCAAAAATATAATTCCAATTCGCAAGTATATAAGACATGTTAACTCGATTGCATGGTGGACATTGTCAATAACTACTACTCCTACATTGGTGACCCGGACGTGATGTAAACACGCCTACTTTGAAAGAAACTCCCACTTTGACATGAACAAGCTTATCTTAACAGTAATGCCCACTTCGATTTGAACAGCCCTGCTTTGATGGATGGCCTACATTCAACAGTTGACTTGCTACTTGTGACTGTGACATTATCCACCTCCTCGCGTTGTTGCTACTCAGTCTTGACCACTCACAACGTCGACCTGTATACACTCGACTGCTAATGGTAACATATGAGCGATAACGACCGTGAACTTAATACAGCGCCCACGATCAGCACTCAAAAGTACGGTGATCTTAATACAGCTCTTCCGTCTTCTCACAAAACAGCAATGAATCATGTAGTGGTATCCGTTCATCGAATTCTATCACAGATAAAATTCTGGTGGGGGAGTACTGTAGTGTATCTACCACTACAAAAATATAATTCTAATTCACTTGTATATAAGACATGTTAACTCGATTCTTCGGTGGGGTACCTTTTCATAGATGAAGGTTAACATTGTCGATAACTACTACTCCTACATATTCCAAGAGCTAGACTTCTCCTTTATATATTGTTTCTTACAGCTTTGGACTTACCTTATCGTGGTAAGCATAAATTGATAGAGTAATGTAGGAGAGTGATTATACTGAATGAGAACAAAATTATAAGACCGACAGAACAAAATAAAAAAGAAATGAAAAAAATGCAGCGTTAATATATACGTATAATATTGCAGTGTCTTCTGTTCCAGTTTTCTCTGTAGCCATTCTTTATTTTTATCGTCATAATCTCTAGTTATTTACGAACCTAAAACTATTCATTTTATTCAAGAGAAATTTATTTTGAAACGTTTTTCTTTCTTCTTAACATACATATAACAAAACATACGTATAACAAAAATCTTCAAAATTGGGTAAGATTTGAGTGTAGTTGTTAATGCATCTTCAGAAAAATTGGTTCAAAATCGAGCAATTATTTCGGTATCTTAAATCATAAGAGTGGGCAAATTTACGTTATCCTTAATGATATGTTGAAAGGAACTGTATTATTGGTACCATAAAATATAATTGCTTGCAAATTTGCTTCAATAAATTTCTATAAAATGTTTGTTTTCTTCATTTGTTTTCTTTGAGTTGAAAGATAATTGGTATCTTGAACCATAATACAGTGCAAAATTACTTTACCTTAATAAAATAATAAAGGAAACCCCGTGTCTCTGTTCAAGTTTGAATCATAATAATGGTATCTTAAACCACAATAAAGTGCAATTTTCGTTAACCTTAATAAGTTGTCCAAATGAATCATATGTATTCGTTAAAGTTGGACCATAGTATCGTGAATAAAATAACATTATCTAACAACATCAATAAATAACAGCCGATCCAATTTAATGGGTTTACGACTAATAATGCTCAATTCCGTAACCTTGTAATTTTGAACCCAATCCAGAAGACAAGGAAAGTCCTACACTGAATATTGGGAAAAATTTGCCTTCATGGAGGACTTTTCGATGGAGCTAACCCGCATTTGCGTTACATAGAGAGGAAGACCACGAGAACCTCACTCTGTTAGCCTGGTGGCAAGGGGTTCTAACCCATGATCCGTCTATCACTGAGGATATTTCACGTCAGCACTGTGGTCGGTGCAAGTCGGATGCAGAATTCGTATCGACTGGGATTCGACATTGGAAGGCAAAAGCTCCACAAATGAACAAATTTGAAAATATTTTTTTTTTTTGGAATAGCAACTTGACTCATGAAAACATGAATAAATATTTCTTAATTATTCTCTTACATTTAAAGTAAGCCAATTTTAAAAAAAGACTATTTTGAACATAAGTGTAAATTAAATTCTGCTGTAACGTTCGTCTTCTTAGAGTAATGAAGTAGTTACTACAATTGCAAAGTAGTTCGTAGTCACTACATTTAAAAAAAATAGTTGTAGTTAACTGCATTTGTAACAAAATAATTGTAGCTGCAGTAAGCTGCAAAAATAATGCAGTTTTTTCGATCACAGACATCACCAGTACTTAAAGATAATATTATTCAAGCTGTCTCAAAATCTCAAAAATTCTTGCATCGCTATTGAAGTTGTATTTTCTTATCATATATATAGAGAGAAAAATCTATTTTATATCTGAACTATCTGTAAAAATTAAAACTTAAAACTTTTTAAATTAAAACTTTTTAAATTAGGCTTTCGGCTATTTTTTAAGGAACTTACTGTTCCGCAAACATTTCGAGCAAAACTTTAAAAAAGTAGTTTGTAATAAACAGTTTTATTTCTCGCTTTTTTCATGAGTTCATAGTACACTCAAAGCACACATGTCCCATGCATAATTCATTGAATTTTAAACCAGTTCACTAAATGCACTCGTAAACAAAATGTTCCCAACACTAGCATCTCACTTCCTCGAAACTCTGATTTTCAGAAAACCAGTTTTCTTTTTTTTAAAACAAATGCTGAGAGAGGCACGGAAAAACGTAGTCATGTTTTAAGAGAACTGCTGCTCTTGTATCGTCTTTCCCACTTCAATAATTTGGTCTAAATCTGTAAACCACTGAATAAACTTTTTTAACTTAGTTTAAAATGTCTTTGGAGTTTTTTACGTTTTCACAATGCTTAAGAAAAGAGTCTTTTGAGAGGCAACCTGAAAGCTAGGTTATGCAAATATTTTATCTTTAGTGTTATTTAATAATTATCTGAATTAATGCATTATTTAGAATACTTCCGATTATATTTAAGTGCTTCTTTTTATTTTCAAACAAACTTGGTTGTTACAAGCTTTCTTGAATTTTATTTATTTCTTCAGTGTTGGTATCAAATTTGTACTCCAATTAATTATAAATTATACAATTTATTTAATTTGCAAAATAGCAGTTTTCGAATAACTATTAATTCTTTAAGGAAAAATAAGGTATCAGTGAAGTTTATAGCTGTCTGAACTCAAAGCGTTAGATTAAGATAGTTTTGTTAGTATGAAATATTTACCCCGACCTGCCCCAATTTAGGGCATACGGGTAAATGTTTATTAAAATCAAGAAAACAAAAAAGTACATAAACTACAAAAAAGTTACATTACAGAGTAACATTATGTAAACATTACAGAGTCTGATGGCAACAGCAGTAAAATAATTAAAATGCTCCGAGAGTAATGTGGTAAAACAAACAATTATCAAATACAATTAAAAGGAGACGCTAAAATTTGCAAAGCAAGGAAAGGCAATGTAAATAAGCCAATTAAAAAGCACAATGTAGTGAATAAATAGATTAAAACAGAATTAAAAAGCGAATGAGATAGATAAAACAACAAAACGTTGTCAAAATAACGGGAAGCGAACAGGCGGGCAGCCCAACAACCGGGACTGAGATTAATTCGTGTAGAGCGGATCCAAAATGTCATCAGGGGCGAGTGCGTCCTCCAGGGTGCGTTTAATGATGTCTTTAATAATTTGCCTCTGTTTATTAGTCCTGCACCAAGATCTTATGTCGCCTCTTCTGTCAAAACTATTTCCCCTAATGGTTGCAAATTTTTGACAGTCAAGCATCAGATGTTTAATAGTCTGATAGTGACCGCAATATTTGCACGCGGAGGATTTTTGAAACATCCTAGCTTGGTGATCGCCAAATACACCATGGGAAGTTAAAAANATTTATTTCAAATGGCAGAGGTAATTGACATGAAAAAGCAAAAACATAGGAACAAAACAAGAAAGTAAAAAGTC